AGTCTTAACTTGGTGTTTAAGTTTAAGTCTCTACTCCTGAACATTGATCCCATTTTGATGAAAGTGGCTCTGGCTTTTTCGATACAGCACTTTATTTCCAAGGAGTGATCCCACTGGTCATTAATTGCGCTGCCCACGTATGTATATTTCGATACTCTTTCTATTTTTTTATTATTAACTACTAGCTGGCCAGGTAATACAGCATTCTTACTGATGACCATGAGCTTTGTTTTTTTGACGTTATTAAGATTAAGTAAAAAAAGCTTTGTTTATATTTTATACACTTTCTCTAAAAATAACAGGTTAAGCAAAATTCTGACATACAACATATATACTAAGTATACTGAATACTCTGTAATGTAGAAACAAAGTTAGGTTCTCTATTTAAACATATGGGGTCCGCAGTGGCCGCGCGGTCTGAGGCGTGGGCCTTGTGCCGCTTGGTCGCTGGGACCGTGGGTTCGAATCCCACTCAAGCCATGGATGTCTGTCCGCGTTTTTCTGTGTTGTGCTGTCCTGTGTACAGGTAGAGACCTTGCGACGGGCCGATCCCTCGTCCGAGGAGTCCTACCGAATGTCTATGGATGAAGCCAATGAAAAGTTGGGACCCGCAGTGCTCAGGCACTTGGAGAACGGGTCGTCCAAGCATCCAAGTATTTAAAACTATGCTATTCTCCCAATAATGTTTCCAATAAACACATGCATCAGTAGATAAGACAGATAATAATGTTTAAAATATACATTCATGTATTACTAGTGATAACAACAGTAGTAATAATGGAAAGTATGTAAACTGTGTTATAGCTGTCTCAAATTTCATAGTTAAATAATAGGTCATGATTAAATCTTACAGCACGTTTTCACAATGTCCATGATCTACTGCAACACCTGCATAACTGCATTTTATAGTAACCCTTCAGTAGGCCAATATGCCATTTTTAAGTATTCTATTCCAGCAAGAATCATTTAGAATGCAAAAGTACAAACACACTTGGAAACCATTTTGATTCTTGCACGGATTACACCTTTCCAATTTGGTTCAGTTATACCAATGTTTTTTTCTGATATTCAGAAATCTTACCATGAATTTCTACCGGAGAAGACAAATGCCAGTACAGTACCTTCAATTACGTTATAAGCGCCTCTTCCCACATTCTCATATTATCAGTGTCATTCCTTAGCGGCACTTAACCTCTGCACCTGAATAAGATCTAACCTGAGGTGGTGCTACAGCAGGTGGAGTCCTGTACTCTCTGGATCCCTTACTGAGGCTGCCCCCCGTTCGGACAACCTGCGGTGGAGTCGGAGGCTTTGTCGTGGGGGCTGGACCCACCACGGGTCCCATGCCGGTTGCCGATACTGAACCAAGTGACTGGATGCTGCCCTGACTAGACCCTCTCTGCTTAGAACGGGGAGTGCCCCCTGTGGACGTAGTTCTAACTCCATGACCAATATCATCCAAGGCTGAAAATGTGAGATTCATATATTCATAACAAACACTGACATCTTTACACAAGTTCACTATAATCAACACTTACCCGTGTAATCAATAGGTTTCCGCACATATTTAATTGGTTTCTCAGGATTGGCAGGAGCAATTATTTTGTACTGTCTAGTTGTTGTCTTGTTGGCTGTCAACACTCCAATTTCACGACGAGCAACCTTTTCCTTATGGATCATCACTGTCTACAGACCAAAACCAAATTTATTACTATATTTTTTATACTGACCAGACAAAACAAGACTTGATAACAAATCTGCATACATTACATCTTTTTCTTGTAAGAATTACTAAAAATATTCAGATAAATCTCTCAGAATAAACCATGCATTCATAATTAACTGCTTTATTCACACAACATTCTGTTTCAGCATTGATACAAACTGCTCAGTAAATTATAGGTTCTGATATGTGTTTTTGAAGTCCACTAGTAACAGACAATCCTATTCCACCTTTGTCAAAGTTGTCAGGTCTACACCCACACCTCACTTCCAATACTTAACTGGCAATATATAAACAATGTAAACATTTCAACACATGTAAAACATACCTGAGCAATGTGATTCATCTGACTTTCCATTTCTGCAAGCTGAGCAGTTTGAAGATCCAGTAACTGCAAGAAGTTGTATGCAAGGGTGTTGATCTGATAAGCAACGCTGGCCAGAGATTGGGTGGTGTAGTTTTTGGTCTCTTCAAGAGCAGCCCTCTTGTTATCAGACTATTACACACACAAGTAATAATTAACTAAAACGCTCTAAATAATGTTTATGTATACGTGTCAGGTAACACGCAGTGTAACATTTACCTGGAAGTAATTTCCTTCACAGTATTCTGCTACCCTCTCCAAGTTTGTATGGCTATCTGCAAGATTACTTCTCCCATCCGGAATCTCGGTTGTCAATAATGCTGTTAATTCTGCCATGTTATCAGAATCGCTTCCCAATCCGGATTCACGATTCGGATCCATCGCTCCTGATAGATAATAATGTGTCATATTCAACAAATGTAACATAAGAAAAAAACCTTCAACAAAACGAGAAACCGGAAACATTAACGTTCGTTCAAAAAAAGTTGAATCCTAACTGCAGCTGAACGAACGTCGTCAAACGTATTTCAACTTTCATACCGCATAATCTGTAATTATTTCGGTAGAACATGTATTAAGGAAATAATTTAATAATAAGTCGCATAATAAAAACATGCACGGGCTTTACATATAAACAATTCGTCCCCGTAAAGTACAGTTTAATTTTTTTGCGTGTAGTACAAAGTACTTCCGAACTCAACATGGAAAACGTCACTCTATCCCCTTTTGCCGAGCATTACCTTAGTTATTATTTACTCAAACGTACAGTATAACAAAACTGACACATTTCTAACTATTTCCCCAACACATTACTGAAAAAACACAATAAGACACTAACCACAGTTCATTATTTGGATCATCTTGTATCGCTTCGCTCAGTCTATCTGCTATAGCTACTGCAGACTTATATCTGCGATATATCGTTGTTTATTATCGACTATTATTTGTGATTGTCGATGAGTAACTTTCAATCCTTGAGTGACATAGCAATTTACAAAACTAACCTAAAAGTCTGTCAAATAAGTACTTTTAAGTAACTTAATGTGGGAACCAGTAAGGGTGGAGCACAATGATTATATCATCAAAAAAGTTAGCATTAATGGACACCATAACGTACTGCTTTCCAATTTTGTAAATATATGGGGCGAAGAAATAACCTCAGCGTCATTATATGGGAGATGTAAGGTAAGGTCAGGTAAAATTTACAGGATACGTAGTACAAGCAAAGCATTTTTTAATTTACAGAAACTTTAAATTTAGTCTACTTTGCAAAGTACACATATTTCCATTCGATCATGTCATATGGAATTATTTTCTGGGGAAACTCAACAGACAGCAAAAAAGTATTTTACGTTCAAAATAAAATCATTAGAATAATTCCAGGCACTAAAAGGAGAGCCTCATGTAGGGAATTGTTTAAGAAATTTCATATTGTTCCACCAGCCTGCGAATTCTTGCTCTCATTATATGTAGTATGTAGCACAAAAATTTCAAACTTAAAATATCTAGAGTATAAGTACAAGATACAGATATAATCTTCATGTGACAAACACTAAACTCAGTAAATATCAAAAAGGAGTTTACTATACTGAAATTAAGTTATTCAGTAATCTTCCCCCCCCCCCACTATAAAAGCCTGAATCATGATTTAAAGAATAATTTACCTCAACCGAAAATTCTCGGCATAAATGCATACAATACATGTAAGCTTTCATGTGTAATTATTTGTGTGGTAATACTGTAGTTGACTGTAAATTAGGTATAACAGTGCAGTTGTATTAGAAACAAACATTGTATTTGTACTATGGCATGTTCTACATCCGTGGCTTGGGCCTATGAAGGATATATGGAATGTACACAAATCCCATTGTATTCTAATGAAAATGACCATTACACGTAGTACCATTACTTGCAGCATTTTAATCCTCTCATGGAAGGTGAAGAAGAAAATCTAGTTCAATGGACACTGTCACAAATAAGTGACAAGGCCAATGCTAAAATTAGTATAAAGGAATGTGAAGATTCTGTGGTCATGGTGATTAATTCAAAACTGGCTGGTGTACCATTTACTATCCAGTTCTGTCTCAAGGTGATGACTTCACATGATGTAAGTACTTTTGTTTTTTGTCAGTAATTCACAATATAGAAGGAAACACTAAATGGGTAAGAATAAGACATACAAGACTTTGAGAGAATTTTAAGATAAACACTTTGGAAGGCACATAAAAGAATAGACCAAGATGACAAGAACATGCTTTAGAGCGAACAAAATATCAGGATAGTGTAGTAGCTGTTATATAACAGTTATGGTTTGTTCCAAAAATGTCCAGTTATTATCAAACCCATGATCTTATATGAGCTAGTACATACTGTTTTAAATTTGTTTCTTTCTACTTTATTGTACTATTATTCTAAAAAATATACCATCTCCTAACTGACCAGTTTTCATGACGATTTTCTATGAAAATTTTGTATTAATTTATAATTACCCACATCCGTTTACGTGGGTCCCTCGTCACCATTGCATGGCACTTCCTCAAATTGCAGATGGAAGGAGAAAGACCTCCAGATATGGGGGTTAGCTCCAAATAGATTCAATAATCAGTCGCAGACAACTGACTAGGGTTGACCCTCCAGCATGGGAGTTGTGCAAGAGGTTAACAATTCTTCACTGCATAAAGCCAGAATATAATAAATTATTCTCAGGCTACCGGCCATGTAAGGTGGACTGATGAAGAAAATAGTACCCTGAGGATGAGGGCAAAGATGGTAATCAAAATTTTAGTATTTTCTTCATTAAGCCACCTTACACGGCTGGTAGCCCGAGAAGAATTTATTATGCTCAGTTGCCGTGAAGGCTTCAGATCATACACAATCTGGATTGTTGGGTTTTTGTACTTTGTCCATTGTCTGATGTTACAAAATTTCACATTGTTTTGAGGACTGGATCTGCCCTCATCTTAAGATGTGGCAAAGGGAAAGGCACTTACTCTGTAGGGGGTCCATTAAAATTAGCTATTGAGGGCAGATCCAAATAGGGTCTGTCTTGTCTGCTGAGCTGTTCAGTAGTAAGTGTGATAGTCAGTGCTGTACCTTGTAAGAGAACTTTTTGAGATGTTGTTTAACAAAAGTAGGATTCCACAGTGAAATGCATTTTTTTTTTATGCCAACAGTTATACAAAGAAATTACTTTGCCATTATTGCTTATGGTACAGCAACTTCAAGCTCAAAAACGTTCATTATTTGACTTGGTGAAGAAGAAAGACATTGAAATAACACAATATAAATTAGAAGGAGCTCAGTTGTCTCGCGGTAAGTAAGTGCAAAACATTATGATTATCATTATATTTTATTAAGTTCGCTTTCTCTCCTGTCGTGGTTTCTAAATTGTTTTAAATTTATTCAGGTTACATATGTCGCAGAAACCCCGTCTGTAATTTGAGGACTGACAATGGCTGACAACAAAACTAAGTACCTTTAAGGACCTGACTGAGTAAGACATTAAATGTCTAATGATATGAATCCAGTGGTTCCAATGTACCATTAGATATAATTTTGTATGGACTGTGAGAAATTTCCACTACTTTCCAATAATAGGGTACAATCAGATAATGGTGATAATGATATCTTAGAAGGGGAACCTGTAATTTAACATTATCTGTGAACTACACTTGGTATTTTCCTCATTGCTTTGGTCTAAAATTTATGGAGGTACATGTTTCAGTTTGAGCACAGAAACATTTGCATCCTGGATCATGAGGAATCAGACCTGGGATTCTCTTGATTGTATATTATTCTGAAGTCACCACAGTGTCTGTAGAACTAGTCATGCAGACATTCACTCATCTGTCAGTGAATCCTGTCAGCTTCCTCCCCCCCCCCCCCCACTATAAAAGCCTGAATCATGATTTAAAGAATAATTTACCTCAACCGAAAATTCTCGGCATAAATGCATACAATACATGTAAGCTTTCATGTGTAATTATTTGTGTGGTAATACTGTAGTTGACTGTAAATTAGGTATAACAGTGCAGTTGTATTAGAAACAAACATTGTATTTGTACTATGGCATGTTCTACATCCGTGGCTTGGGCCTATGAAGGATATATGGAATGTACACAAATCCCATTGTATTCTAATGAAAATGACCATTACACGTAGTACCATTACTTGCAGCATTTTAATCCTCTCATGGAAGGTGAAGAAGAAAATCTAGTTCAATGGACACTGTCACAAATAAGTGACAAGGCCAATGCTAAAATTAGTATAAAGGAATGTGAAGATTCTGTGGTCATGGTGATTAATTCAAAACTGGCTGGTGTACCATTTACTATCCAGTTCTGTCTCAAGGTGATGACTTCACATGATGTAAGTACTTTTGTTTTTTGTCAGTAATTCACAATATAGAAGGAAACACTAAATGGGTAAGAATAAGACATACAAGACTTTGAGAGAATTTTAAGATAAACACTTTGGAAGGCACATAAAAGAATAGACCAAGATGACAAGAACATGCTTTAGAGCGAACAAAATATCAGGATAGTGTAGTAGCTGTTATATAACAGTTATGGTTTGTTCCAAAAATGTCCAGTTATTATCAAACCCATGATCTTATATGAGCTAGTACATACTGTTTTAAATTTGTTTCTTTCTACTTTATTGTACTATTATTCTAAAAAATATACCATCTCCTAACTGACCAGTTTTCATGACGATTTTCTATGAAAATTTTGTATTAATTTATAATTACCCACATCCGTTTACGTGGGTCCCTCGTCACCATTGCATGGCACTTCCTCAAATTGCAGATGGAAGGAGAAAGACCTCCAGATATGGGGGTTAGCTCCAAATAGATTCAATAATCAGTCGCAGACAACTGACTAGGGTTGACCCTCCAGCATGGGAGTTGTGCAAGAGGTTAACAATTCTTCACTGCATAAAGCCAGAATATAATAAATTATTCTCAGGCTACCGGCCATGTAAGGTGGACTGATGAAGAAAATAGTACCCTGAGGATGAGGGCAAAGATGGTAATCAAAATTTTAGTATTTTCTTCATTAAGCCACCTTACACGGCTGGTAGCCCGAGAAGAATTTATTATGCTCAGTTGCCGTGAAGGCTTCAGATCATACACAATCTGGATTGTTGGGTTTTTGTACTTTGTCCATTGTCTGATGTTACAAAATTTCACATTGTTTTGAGGACTGGATCTGCCCTCATCTTAAGATGTGGCAAAGGGAAAGGCACTTACTCTGTAGGGGGTCCATTAAAATTAGCTATTGAGGGCAGATCCAAATAGGTTCTGTCTTGTCTGCTGAGCTGTTCAGTAGTAAGTGTGATAGTCAGTGCTGTACCTTGTAAGAGAACTTTTTGAGATGTTGTTTAACAAAAGTAGGATTCCACAGTGAAATGCATTTTTTTTTTATGCCAACAGTTATACAAAGAAATTACTTTGCCATTATTGCTTATGGTACAGCAACTTCAAGCTCAAAAACGTTCATTATTTGACTTGGTGAAGAAGAAAGACATTGAAATAACACAATATAAATTAGAAGGAGCTCAGTTGTCTCGCGGTAAGTAAGTGCAAAACATTATGATTATCATTATATTTTATTAAGTTCGCTTTCTCTCCTGTCGTGGTTTCTAAATTGTTTTAAATTTATTCAGGTTACATATGTCGCAGAAACCCCGTCTGTAATTTGAGGACTGACAATGGCTGACAACAAAACTAAGTACCTTTAAGGACCTGACTGAGTAAGACATTAAATGTCTAATGATATGAATCCAGTGGTTCCAATGTACCATTAGATATAATTTTGTATGGACTGTGAGAAATTTCCACTACTTTCCAATAATAGGGTACAATCAGATAATGGTGATAATGATATCTTAGAAGGGGAACCTGTAATTTAACATTATCTGTGAACTACACTTGGTATTTTCCTCATTGCTTTGGTCTAAAATTTATGGAGGTACATGTTTCAGTTTGAGCACAGAAACATTTGCATCCTGGATCATGAGGAATCAGACCTGGGATTCTCTTGATTGTATATTATTCTGAAGTCACCACAGTGTCTGTAGAACTAGTCATGCAGACATTCACTCATCTGTCAGTGAATCCTGTCAGCTTTAAGAAATTCATGTGAAGAGTTCGCCCTCTGTAAACCTAAAGTGCCTTCCAATTTCAGGAAGTATTGAGACGGCTGCATTTGTTGAGGACCAGTTTGAACAGTCACGTACAGCAATTCAAATACCTGGTGGATTTCCTGCACAGCCAGTGTCACTGTTCACACAAGAAATTCAAAACCTTTACGTTGATGTGATTAAGAACTATGAAAATAGTAAAGAATTGTAAGTATGATTCCACATAGTCTGCTTCATTTGAAATAACGTGGCTGAGGTTTGTTACGCTTTCAACGCCTCTGTTGTAATTTTATGAAAAATGTTTAAAATTACTACATCATTTACACAGAATGTCAATGCTGATTTTCCGGGTAAGTAACACCATGTGGACTTGTAGGTGGTAGCAATGTTTCTTCAAAATGCTGATATCTCAATTACTTTTCTGCTTTCCGCCAGAAGAGTTACATACTGAACTCAATATACATTCAGGAAATCAATCCATTCGCCATAATAATAGGCACCACACGCCTTTCAGTATCACTGCCTAGAATATCATTTATGTGCATCAGACCAAGTGTCCGGCGGCAGTATACATTCTTCAAATGGACAAGTCCGCCATGATCTCTTTCACCCATCTGAAGTTTTTGTGCTACCAAAGTCCTGTAAATATTGATCATGATTGTATGCACTGTGTTTCCTCCGTATTCCCGTAAGTTTATTATTATACATCTAAAATTATTCATAAGAATGATAGACATATTTCACAGTGGCGTTTGGTTTGTCATCACATGCTGTTGCGTCAAGGTAACAGCTGAAGATCTGTTTCTTGTGTTGCTACAGGAAAGAAGCTGCTCAGCAAAATGCAGACACTGAAGGCAGCGGAACGCAACGCACGTTCAGTAATTCATCTCCTGAGAAAAAGCGAAATCATAATCTTAAGGTCAGCAATGTTAAACATGTTCGTAAAAAAGTAAATTCTGTGTTTAAGCACCACTATGACATGTATTTTGACACGTCAAATTCCACATAGCAGCTGGACAAATTAAACACAACAAAATAGGCAACTGTAATCTCAAATTTTCAAGATTGAGAAAGAATTACAGTTCATTTTTCAGTCTTGACCTCAAGAATTCTTATATAATAGGTTTTGCAGACATAATAACTATAGGCAATGCTAACACAGCCCAAGGGGTCAGCAAAATCTGTTCTTGCATTTAAAGATGGTTCTTGAAATATTGGTGTTTTCTTCATTAAGCCATCTTACATGGCTGGTAGCCTGAGAAGAACTCACTAAATTCTATTGTATGTTAGTGGGATGAGTAGTTGTTTCTACATGCGTGAATATTATTAGAAATATGCATTGTGCCACCCCATTTTATAAAAATACACCGAAATTTGTAAAAACAATAGATCTTATGTAAGACTTGAGGTTCTCACAGCGGTGAGTATGAAGATGTCCGTCTTCTGGGTTATTGCGCTGTGTAGTCTGGTCAATGTTAACCAACGTTTCAGAGGTCATACTGCCTCCGTCATCATCGCCCTGATGACGGAGGCAGTATGACCTCTGAAACGTTGGTTAACATCGACCAGACTACACAGCGCAATAACCCAGAAGACGGACATCTTCAATAGATCTTATGTTGTTAATTTGTTTTTATTCCCTTTCACTATAACAAAATTTTATTATTAAGAATATAATTTGTCAGTTCACAAAAGTCTATTACGCTGAGATTTTGCTGAAGAGACCAGCAGGAGAGCGAAATGTTTTAACAGCCATTTTAAGACTGTTTTCTGTTTGCAGCACGGGGGGAGATTATCTGCAACCAAAATTGTTTATTGTTTTGTTCTGTCTCATTGTGTTGATGTATCTCATTGTTTGTGTGTCATATTGTTTTTGTTGTGTCCTTTTTTTATTGTTTTGTTCTGTCTCTGTGTTGATGTATCTCATTGTTTGTGTGTCATATTGTTTTTGTTGTGTCCTTTTTTTATTGTTTTGTTCTGTCTCTGTGTTGATGTATCTCATTGTTTGTGTGTCTTGTTCTGTTATGTTCTGTTATGTCTCATTGTTTTGTATGTTATTGTAGGACACTGCCACCGGGTATAAACCCATTTGCAGTCAATAATAAATAAAAATAATAAAAAAACTCGCCTGTTTTCCACAGAAAGTGATGATGGAATACAGGTGAGAATATTAATTTAATTAGGGGGTGCATCTGAAAGGAAAAGGAATTTAAAGTAAACCAGTTAAATGAATCTTGTTTTCAGCCAGAAGAAAATGATAGAGATCATAGACATGAGAAGAAAGAAGAAGACAAATTATTAATCAAACACAGAAAGGAAGCAGTGAAGAAGAAAAGACTTAATCTGTGATTAACTTTCTTTTTGTGCTGTGCCTTGCAGCTGGCTAGTGGCTTTTTTGAATGACTTTGTTAATAAATATGATTTATAGCTTCCAGTCATGCAAGATTTTGATCTGAAGCGAAGTGATTGAAATTAATTTCTAATACCTGTTAAGTATGGAATGTCAAGTGTTAGTTTAATTTATCAATATAATGTTTAAACAAACATGTATTATCTATGCATAAATCTGTTAAAAATTTTACATTTACACTTGCTTAGCAACTGTAACATTTTAAATTATCATATGATCTCATGTATTTGTGTCATTAATGAAACAAATTTATGCGACTGATTTTATGGCCTGTCTTTCACGTAAGGCCAAAGGATAATGCAAACAAATACTTAAGATTAATGCAATGAGAAACCTTGCTGCGGATACATAATAATATTAGAAGTGGAAGGAGACAATGTACAGTGAAACTCGCTTAACCTTTTTGAATCTGAAGTTCATCAATATAATATTTGAACACCAAGCTGGTACTATAAAGGAGGCAACACAACATGCCTCCGTTACAAATACCAGTTCATTAAGATGTACAAGGATATAAGTGCTGTCTATTCTGAGATGCACTGGATATATCGTTGAAATTGACATACTGAAGACAACTTATATAAGCACGTCGATACAGAGAAAATGTTGCCTGTGCCTTTGAGATTCACTGTTCTCAAGCTTTGATAACTGCGTGGTTTCTCTGCCCCCAAAATCCTACACAAACACGCCACTCACCTTGCACTGGAATGTGCTTCTGAAAATCCTGTCCACATCGCTTCAGACTGGGCTAATTCAGCTTTGATCCATTCTGGAACCTACAGAAATAAAACAGCAATTTA